GCCCCAGATCCTGGTGGGATGGGTTGGAGGAACGATGTGGCTCAGCCAGAGCACCCCACTTCCCCCCAGTCTGTGTACACCGCCCAGCTTACTAGCCAAGAGCTTGAAGTGATGCCAACACCCAGGGGCCACATCTCCTCCTACAGAGCCCGGCCAGGTCTCTCCTGTTCCAGACAGAGCACTGAAAATAGTGCTGTCCCTCTCATATCCTGAGGGCGGCAAGGAGCCACTGCATAGAGGTCTTAAGGTTCTAGGCTATACAAGAGATCGTCCCTGCCACTGGCTCCTTCTCAGTGCCTGCTCTGTGTGGGCAAGAGAGCTCTCATCTCTCATCTCTCACCGCAGAGAGCACAGTTCTGGAATACACCCAAGGAAGGCCGGGAGGGAGACCAGGAGCTTGAGCCGGGAGTGTTCATCAGAGACGGGGCTCTCGGGAGAGCCTGGCTGTGTGGGAACACCTGACTTACAGTTTGAGGCTCCAGCCAGAGAGCGCATGAGGAAGGCTACTGAAGGTCTGAGAACAGCGGGGCCTTGACCGTTGTTCCGGAGAAGGCCACCTCCAGGACTGAGCTGGCCCAGCCTGCTTAATCCTCTAAGCCTTCCTCCTCCTCTTATGCAACTGCTTTGTTACTGGGAAAGTCAAGGAGCCTGCGGTGACTGCTACCTTACAAGTCTCCCGTGGCATCTGGGCTGCCCTGGGATTGTGGCAAGGACTGTGGGCCACACTGCTGTGGACTGGGGGTTCCAGGGTACCCCAGAGTGAGGTATGTGGGCAGCAGGGGCGTGCAAGCACTGCACCCCACACATCGTGAATGGGAATGCACTGCTGACGAGCCCCACACAGGCGTGTGTACCCAGCATTCCTCCACACTGGCTTCCATGCCCTCTCCCACCTGGGAGCCTGGCCCTCAGATACTTTGGGGCTATCGAATCCACCGCCTCCTGTATTCCTTTTCAGGATCTTTCCTTATCTTCTCTACACAGGGGCAGAGGGACCTTTCTGTCAGTGGCCTACTGTTGTTTGGAGTGATGGCATCGTTTTCTCTGAAGCCACACTTATTTCCCATCAAGAGAATGGGCCTGCTCGGTGGGGGCCTGCCCGGGGTCTCAGAATGTGAGCAGCGTGTAACGCCCGGTCCCCTTGGTCTGCATACCACCTTTGTGTTGCTGTGATGACCACTCTTCATGACACCACCAAGATGCAAGTGTCTTCACTTATTATATTTTTACATCTTACAGATGGGAGAACTGTGATCCAGAGAGGGATGGACACTGGTTGAGGCCATACAGCAAACTAAAGCAGAGTTGACCAAAGCCACCCTATGCCTGGGCTAGGGGGAAAGTGCCCTCCGCCTCTGGGGCTTAGTGTGTGGGAAACAGGCTTGGTTTGGAGCCTAGGGCACGGGGCAGGCTGGGACCAGTCATGTGGGGACTCTTCATCTTCCTGCGCCTGGAGCTGCTTAAGCTCCCTCACAGGTCTCTTGCTGTGAGGCTCCTCTTTTACATGCCAGGGAAGAGGACCAGAGGGACAGCAAGGACACTGCCGCTGTGGTTTGTGACTCAGACAAGGCCTCTGTTCTCTGGTCCAGCACCTCCTCTGCTGGTGCCAGAGGATGTACTTCCTCTCCTGGCCTGCAGAGGGCGTCTCCGGAGACTAGCCTACACGGCATTTGGGACTGAAGCAGTACCCAGGGGGCCCGGCCTGCTTCGATCCTGTAGGGCAGGGCCTCCTCCAGGCTGGGTGGGCTTCTCCAAAGGATAGGAGATGGTACAGGGAAAGAGAAACCTAGGAAGTCATGCTGTGTCCACCTGAGGAAGCTCCCGGCTCTTTGCCCCACATCTCTCTTAACTTTTCTCTAAAGCTCTCACCTCAGGTCAGAGACCTTGTTTTGCCCTCCGGCCATCTTGAACACCACCAGAAGAGAGCAGGGGCATGGTACTTGTAAACAAGAGGAAGAATGGAAGAAGGAATACTCCTGTGACAGGGAGGGGTTGCCCTGGCCAGTCAAGGACCCAGACAGCTACCCATTGCCTTCTGGTCCTGCCCAAGCTCCAGTATGGATTGAGGCTGGGGAGGGGAACAGCCACCCAGGTGTTACCCTCCTCCAAGCTACCCTCCCTCTGAGGATACATCCTTAGTCCCTGGGGAGCCGTGTCTAGACCTGCATGGTTGGAATCACAGTCAACAGATTTCTTAATCTTGGGGTCTGGGTCTCTCTTAATGGGCCTTCCAGGCACTGCTGAGAAACCAGGGTAATTGTTCCCTGTGGCGTTAATGAGCAGGAGCAAGGCTCTGCCTAAACTCAAGAGAGACCAGGAGGGGAGCTGGTGTGTAACTAGGAGCCTCCTGAGTCCAGTCCTGGGCCCTGAATGCTCCCTCCCGCCATCCTCCCAGCAACCCTCCGGCTAAACTGATGGGACCCATTGCTTGGGTGAGGATGCAGAGATGAGGGTGACTGTCTCCTGGCTGGGCAGTGGCCGAGTCAGCCAGACACTTGAGCAAGATCTCCAGATCCAGTCCTGGCCCTGCCATTCAGAGCTCTGTGGGACAGTATCACTTCCTCTCCCGGCAACATCAGTTCCCTCATCTGCCACCTCCCAGACTCTTGCACTCTGTGGCACAGGAACTGCCCGGTGGCAGGGGCTGCTCCAGGAGTCTGGCTTACTCCAGGAGGTTGCTGAGTCGGGGTGAGTTTTCCAGGTGAGGGTGTTTCCCTCCTCCGGGGCTTGCCACTCCCCACCCCTGCACACCACTGCAGTCCTGGGCTGGGTGCAGCGGGCTGAGCAGGTGTGGGTGGGTGTGGGCCCTCCTTCCTTCTTCCTTTTCTTTACCTAGTACTGCCCAGAACTAGGCTGCACACAGGACTGGAGTGGAGGAGATGGGGACATGGGGACCTGGCTGTGCCTTGAGTAGGGCCGTGGAATATGATTTGGACAGGATTAGGACAGGATTTGGAGTTGTCGAGGTCTGAGTTTGAGTTCTGAATGTCATAAGACATTCTTCCTTTCTGGGCCTGGACTTCTTACTCTGTGAATTCTAACTTTTCTAACTCTGTGAATTCTAGTAGCCGAGTATTTAAAAACTGTTCTGTGCTGGATGGTGAAGCATACACCTTTAATTCCAGCAGAGGCAGACGATCTCTGTGAGTTCAAGACCAGCCTTTTCCTCTTGGTGCATCTCTTGTGAGTCCCAGGCCAGTAAGACCCTGTCTCAAAAACAAACATAAAACTGAAAACCTGTTCTTTGTCAAATGCTAGAGAGTACAGAGGGTCCCTGGGGAGGGACTGGGTGGTTCTCAGAGATCCTCAGGCGCCTTGGCAAGAATAAGTAGGAAGGATGCCAAGATACAGTGGAGCCTGAAGTTGACCGCACTGGGAAAATGGGTTCCTGAGTCCAGGCATGACTTGTTAAGGAGAAGAGGACAGTAAATTGATGTACCTGGGGCATAGGGCTAAACCTTTCTCGGACTTTCTGTTGACATTTGACTCTGCTGACCCTGACCCAGGGAAGGCAGACAGAGGTCCTGAGTTCGGTACTGGTCTCCTGAAGGTCCATGGAATTCACACAACTTAGAGACTATTCTCCATCCCTTAGTATCAAATGAGATGAAAAAAATGAACGGGCCTTTGCAAGCTATGAAGAGCGCACTTTCTGCTTTTTGAGATCATCGTACCTTGTTGCCCAGGCTAGCTTTGAACCTGACTCAGCCTTCCCAGTGCTGGGATTACAGGCAGGTACCAAGTCCTGTGCCTTCGGTGGTACATCTGCTCATGTGTGAAAGGTAAAGGTGTGAGTGTGCAGCTTGTGAGCATGTGTGGCGCGAGTGTGCCTGGACACACTCTCCAGGTCTGCCAGTGGGAGTTTCTCTACACTGCTGAGACTCCATTTGGCTGGGGAGGAGGTTCAGCTTGCAGCAAAGCCTGAGTGAAGCCCTGGGCTAGATCTTCAGCATTACATGATACTGAGTGAACAGCTGAGGTCCCATGACTCGGGATGTAGACACACAAGGGTCAGATGTTCAAAGTTATCCTCAGCTGTGTAAGGAGTTCAAGACCAGCCTGGGGAAATGAGACTCTATATTTGTGTGTGGGGGGGTGTATTTCCTTACTATTTGTTAGTTTACTAGGAAGGAGGCAGGGGCCCTAGACTAGAAACTAATACGTAACTATTGTCTCTAATTTTTGTTTGTTTGTTTGTTTGTTTGTTTGGAGTTGAGGACCGAACCCAGGGCCTTGAGCTAGGCAAGCACTCTACCACTGAGCTAAATCCCCAACCCCTAACTATTGTCTCTAACCTGTCCCCTCGCCTCATTCGGAGACTGGTCCTACAAACTCCACCAGGAGCCCCCTGCAGGGCTGGGGAATCTGCCTGGCTCCTCCGTGAGGCCCAGCAGCCACTGCCTTCTCTCTGAAGCTCAGAGTTGGCTGGGTGCCTCAACTGTCCCATTGAATCTTTGTGACATCCAATGTCTTCTGGAGGTGCTACGGGTATCCCATTTTACCGACAAGGAGATAGAGGTCTGTAAGGGGAAATGCCTGTCTCGGGATCTGGGGGATCCAGCCTGCTAACAGGAATACTGGATTTCAACTCCTAACTCCGAAATTTAGTTCTTCGTAGTGGCAGCCTAGCTAGTGTCGGCTGTTTGGCCGAGTGAACAACTGAACAAAAGAGCAAATGACTCCTTTGACACAAAGCTGAAAGTGTGGGACTGGGGAAGTGGCTCAGTGGTTAAAGCATCTGCCATGCAAGTGTGAGGATGGGAGTTTGGATCTCCAGTGAGTGAAGTTGCCCAGCCATGATTCCAGAGCCCAGAGGGTTAAAGCAGACCAACCAGAGTAGCTGTACTGACGAGGTCTGGGCTCGGTGGAGCCCATCTCAATGAACAGGTGGAGAGCAATTGAGGAAGGTTTCAGACGCTTCTGCACACTTGTGCAACACACACCCATGTGTCCCCACACGTGAATATGCTTACACATATATCATACACATAGACACATGATAAAATTAGAAAGTGCCTGTTAGTTTACTGAGTACCCAAGAGATGGAAAGTGTCTCTCACGAAGTGCGTGCAGCCAGGATGAGCTGGGCTTCTGAGAAACTGAAGCATCCTTTCTGGCTTACGCAGGATGGCCATGGGTGTAGAGTCAGCCTGGGCTCCATGGTGAAGTCAAGACCAGCCTAGTCCTTGTCTCAAAACAAAACAAAAAAAATTTACTTAGATGAGTAAATTAATAAAGCTGGGAATAGAGGCACATACCTGTAATCCCAGCCCTTGGGAGGTGGAGGCAGGAAGGTCAGGAGTTCAAGTCCAACCCTATTTGCAGAGTTCCAGGTCAGTTTGAATGAGACCTTGCTCAGACCTAGGCCTTTGAGCTGAGTTTTCTTGTGTTTCTGGAGGGGGGATGAGTCGATAGAGCCTGTGACGGGCTCCCATTTGGGCAGAGGACCTGGGGCCACTCACAACTCTCACGGAGCTGAGTCCTTAGGGCTGGCTGCATGTCATGCCCTCTCAGCCCCCCTGTCCCTGGGCCATTTCCCCATTTGTCTCTGCAGTAGGTTTCTATTTCAGTCTGGGTGGACCTGGGAGCCGAGAATCCAACTCTTCCGTTCTGACTGTTGGTGTCCAGTTAGGGCCAGAATCCTGGCCAGGGCATGTGGGCATGACGTGTTTACCTGCTCTCCCTGCTCACTGCGGGATCTGACCGTAGCTGTGATAGCTGTGTGGGAGTCAGGCACTGTGCCAGACACCTTGGTCTGTGGATATGGCCCAGACTGCATCAGGGGCCTTTATGCCCAGTCGTGTGCTGAATACCAGAGTCCCAGGAACCAAGAAACCCACTGTCCCCTTAAGAACTCATAGGCTGGGAACAAGCCCAGGAGCAAGAAATCTGCAGTGTAGACTAGTGAGATTGCTTAGCGGGTAAAGACACTTCCTGCAGATCCTAACAGCCTGAGTCCAATCCCTGGGACCCAGGAGGAGCGACGGCAGAAAGAGAATCAGCTCCTGAAACTGTCTTCTGACTTACACACACACATTCACACATACACATACATATACACATACACACACATATACCACGCACACATATGCACACACATGCACACACATACACCACACACGTATGTGCATACACACACATACAACACACACATTCATACACACACACCACGCACACACTAAACACAAACGCATGCACGTGCACACATGTACTCGAATGCGCATGAATACATGCTCATGCATAAATAATAAAAAAATGTAATTAACAACAACAAACAAGTCAGCAGCAGTTGGATCTGAACCAGGCATCCCATGAGAGCACTGGTTTTCACAGCCTGGGATAGGGCAGGACTTCTCTGTGACATTGAAAGAGGCTCTCAATCCAGAGCGAGGTAAACACTCTCTGGTACCTCAGAGAAATAGGAGCAGCTGTTCCAATGAGTCCTGGGGTCCTGAGTGCCTTGTGCCTTCTAGCAAAGGGAGGCAGAGGTGCTAAGGGGCATCTGAGTCCAGGGGAAAGAAGACAGACTTAGAAACAGCTGGATAGGAATCTAACATCTGCCAGCCATGTGATTCCCATACACATTATTACACCCCTTAGAATCTTAGTTTCTTCATCTGTAAATGGGATCACAGGGCCTACCTGACTAGCTCCTAGGGCAGGGAAAATGAGAGCATGGATATAACATGGCTTGTAGGCCCTTAGGAAGGGCACCCTGGAGGAGGATTTTCTCTGGGCAGAGCTGAAATTTGAGGCAAAACACAAGGCTCGTAAGACTCAAAACCTAGGGCAGGAGAGTTGCTGCGCTCACAGAGGACCAAGGCCTGGTTCTCAGCACTCACATGGTGGCTCACAACCATCTGTGATTCCAGGTCGAGGGTACCTGACACCCACTTTTGACCTCTGAGGGCATCAAGTAGGGATGGGTGTACATACATACATACAGGCAAAGTACTTATACACATAAAACAAAAATAAACAAAACTTTAACATGTCAGAATCTACCCAACATTCACCAATTCTTGACATGGTGCAGAGTCTCCCATTGACAGCTGTGTCAGGATCCCCACCACATGACAGAGGTGACGATGTCTCCAAGAGGCAGAGGAGAGACGCAGAGAAGCTAATCCCTCTTGTGAAACATTCCAATAGTAAAGCAGGTAAAAATTATGCTAGAAACATGCCCTAGCCCAGGCCTCCTGGCTAAACTGGAAATCTCTCCTTCTGACTCCCAGGTTCATGGTGAGATCCACTGAGGTCCCCACCCCAGCTTTATTACAGACCTGTCTGAGTTAAAGCTCTAACTCATGGTTCATAAGCAGGGACACAGGCACTCGGTGTCAAACTTAAAGTCAGAGAACTTGTAGAAGCAGAGGGAGGATTCAAACCCAGGACTCTCCCATGCCAAGGGATACTTGTTCCACAAACAATGTGAGGCCTCAGGACAGAAATACATACAATAAAAATGGCAAACACGCCAGGCGGTGGTGGCACACGCCTCTAATCCCAGCACTCAGGAGGTAGAGCCAGGCGAATCTCTAAGTTCGAGGCCAGCCTGGTCTACAGAGTGAGATCCAGGACAGGCACCAAAACAACACAGATAAAACCTGTCTCCAAAAAACAAAAAAACAAGAAACAAAAAACAAAAGCAAACACACACAAAAAGAGCATTTACAGAAACACAAGTGAAAACCACAATACACCACTTCATACCCAGGAAGGTGACTATGAGGAAAAAGACAAACAATTTAAAATGTCAGCATGGCTGGGCATGGAATTCAGTTGGTAGATGTACTCCTAGCATGCAGGGAACCCGGGGTCCAAACCACAGCATATGATTCAGGGCATAATGGTGCATCTTTGGCTACATAGTGAGTTCAAGGCCAGCCTGGGCTACACAAGGCCATGTCTCAGAAAGAAAATAAACCTTCCAGCAAAGACGGGAATTAGAATTCTCATAAACTGCTGGTAAGAACATAAAACTGGACAGTTCTTAGGAATGCAATTAAACACTTCCTCAAAAATTAAACCTAAAGTTATCATATGAAGCGGTGGTTCCACTTCTAGGTATATACCCAAGAAAAGTGAAAGCGCCTCCACAAACTGGGCCTGGTGGCAACTTTCCAGAGTCCCGGCACTTGAGATGCTGAAATACAGGGACAGACACAAGCTCAAGGATGGCCTGAGATACACTTGTGAGACGCTGTCTCTAAACAAGAACGAGGGACTGGAGAGATGACTCACCAGTCAAGACTGCTGGCTGCTCTTGCAGAGGACCCAGGTTCAGGCACCCTCATCAGGAGACCACAGCTTGCCTATAACCTTAGCTCCAAGGGATCCAATGCTATCTTCTGTTTCCTCAGGCACCTGCGCGCACACACACACACACACACACACACACACACACACACACACACACACGCATGCACGCGCACACACACATACACAAATAAATTTTTGCAGCCCTTAGGCTAGAGAAACGGCTCAGGGGTTAAGAACACTGGTTGTTCTAGGGACTCCGTTCAATTCTCTGCACCCAGATGATGACTCACAGCCACCTATAACTCCAGTTCCAGGATCTGATGCCCTCTTCTGGCCTCTGCAGGCACTGCACACAAGTAGTAGACATACATGCAGGCAAAAACACTCACACACATAAAATAATAAAATAAATTTTAAGCCAGCAGTGGTGGTACACACCTTTAATCCCAGCATTGGGGAGGCAGAGGAAGGGGGATCTCTGAGTTTGAGGCCAGCCTGGCCTATAGAGTGAGTTCCAGAAAAGCCAGGACTGCGCAGAGAAACCTTGTCTTGAAAAACCAAAATAAATAAATAAATTTTAAACTTCTTCTTTTGGCTTTTTGAGACAGGGTTTCTCTGTGTAGCCCTGGATGTCCTAGAACTTTCTCTGTAGACCAGGCTGACCTCAAACTCAGAGAGAACCGCCTTCCTCTGCCTTCCCAGTGCTGGGATTAAAGGCGTGCACCACCAAACCAAGCCAATTTTTAAACTTTTTTTTTCCAAGACAAAGTTTCTCTATGTAACAGTCCTGGAACTCATTCTGTAGGCCAGGCTGTCCTTGAACTCACAGAGATCTGCCTGCCTCTGCCTCCCAAGAGCTGGGTTTAAGGCATGTGCCACCACTGCCCAGCTTTAATTTTTAAACTCTTATACACAAATACTTATAACAGCAGTATTCATAATGGCCAAAAGTAGAAATAACCTAAATGTCCACAAATTTATCAATGAATAAACAAAATTTAGCATGTCCAAATGATGGATTATTCAGCAATGAATTGAAAAGTCTGATTTACGTTACTATATGAATGAGCCTTAAAGACACTGTGTTACATGAATAAGCTAGAGACAAAAAAAGCACACGTATGACTGCAATGAAATGAAATCTCCAGAAACAATACATCCATAAACACAAAATGGAGCTTACTTGTCTGGAGGGTGGAGTGGGGGGGGAAGGAACAAGGGGTAACTACTAATGGACACTAGGTTTCTTTTAAGGCAGTGGTTCTTAATTTTCCTAATGCTGTGACCCTTTAATACAGTTCTCATGTCGTGGTGATCCCCCCCACCATAAAGTTATTTCATTGCTTCTTCATAACTGTGATTTTGCTACTGTTATGAATCATAATGTAAATATATCTGGATATGCAGGACATCTGATTTGGTCATAACCCACAGGTTGAGAACTACTGTTTTAGGGTTAATGGAGATATTCATCCATGGTCCCTTGGCCTACCTGTTGTTGGGCAGAGCATCAGGGCAGGAATGCTAGGTAGAGCAGAGAGAGAGAGAGCAGAGGTGGGGTCCCCAGTGTTCCCTCTCCCCGTGACCTGCTTTCTCCAACTAGACCTCATCTCAGCAAGCTTTTGCCATTTCCCACTAGTGCCGTCAACTAGGGACCAAGCCTTCAAAATATGAACATTTAAGATCCACACCGTAACGCAGCAGGCTGAGACTGGCATTGACTATACAGCAAGCAGAGAAGCGTCGCTGGGTTTCCTGGGCAACAAAAGGAGAAGCAGCCTCCAAGAGGAGAACCATGGTGGATCCTTAGCGAAGCTAACCTTCCAGGGGCAAGAGTCCCAAAGCTTGAGTTGGGCCATTGTATCATAAAAACAGGTTCCGTATGCCCCCCACCCCACCCCGAGGTTCAGATGCGAAGGGAATCAAGAACCCGAAGAGCCTATCTTTTACCACGTGTGTTAGCCGCCATGCTTGCCCGCTCCAGTTTCATGGATGCTGGCCAAAGACATAAAGCTGGTAGTTATGCAACTTTGCTCCTCACAGCACCAGGGATGAACAGACTATCAGCCCCAGGACCAGACCAAGGCAAAGGCGGCCAAATAATACCCGTGCATATAGTGGGCTGGGGGGGCAAGAAAGGAACCTGGAGCTTAGGCATCGTGTCTTCTGTGATGGGCAGTCAACATGCTTGAACTTTGTCTCAGAGGAAGACATCTTTCCTGTACCAGACAGTCGGCACACCTGACGCTGTCGTTGTCTTCCAATGTTGTTTGCTCAAAGACGGCCTCCTCTGCTCATGAGCTCTGCCAGGCTCTGCTGAACCAATGGAGGGAGGGCCGTCCCCAGGGCATGGCTGTGCTGGTCGGGGCTGGCATCCTTTTATCCGTTGTCTGTCTGTTTGTTGTTGTTGTTGTGAATTTGTTTAAAACTATACACAACAAAACGTATGTCATATTTTTTTGTTTGTTTCTGTTTTGTTTTGAGACAGGGCCTCACAGAGTAGGCTCAGCTGGCTAAAACTTGCTACACAGATTAGGTTAGCCTTGAACCTGCAGTAATCCCCCAGTGACTGCTTGGCTCTGAGATTACAGGCCCAGGACACCACACCCGTTTTAACCTCATTTAAACGAAAAAAATTTTTTTTAGATTGTATTATTTTATGAGTGTGAGTGTTTTGCTTACACATATGTAAATGTGCCTGAGATCAGAAGAAGGCATCAGATCCCCTGGAACTGGAATCGTGGATGGTTGTGAGCTACCATACGGGTGCTGTGAAAAGAGCAGCCAGTGAGTGCTCTTACAGCTGAGCTGTCTCTCCAGCCCATTTAACCCTCGAGAGCATACAAGTAAGTCACACTCAGCACACACACTTTGTTGTGCAGTAATTGCCAACATCTATCCCCAGAACCTTATCAACCATACAGTACACAAAAGCCTAGCTCTGCCCGCAAGCCTGAGGCCAGCCTCAGCCACACAGCGAGAAGGGTCTCAAGCACAAAACACTCAGTACCCAGGAAACCGTGGCTCCCCACTCCCCTACAGTCCCCACACCACTGTTCTGTCTCTGGATTTGGGGACTCCTAAGGTCTTCCTGTCAGCACAAGTGTCCATTGTTTTACTTGGCACAATATGTTCAAGGTTCATCCATGTTACAGCTCATTATCAGAACTTCCTCTTTAAGGCTTTGGTTTGGATTCTAGAGGTGGAATTGCTAGATAATCTGCTAATCCTGAGGTGTGTGTTTGTTTATTTTAAGAAACTTCCGGACCTTTTTTTTTTTACTGTGGCCGTGCCATTTTACATTCTTGCCAGTAATGGAGAGAATTAGGATTTCTCCATCTCCTCATCAACGCTTCATATTTTCTCGTTAGTGGTTTGGGCTTTAAAGAATTATTTATTTATTTATCGTGTGTGTGTGTGTGTGTGTGTGTGTGTGTGTGTGTGTGTGTGTGTGTGTGTGTGTGTGTGTGTGTACACTGGCGCATGGGTAGGTGGGTGGAGGTGATCATGTGCCACAGCACACACAACCTCGTGGGAGTCAGTTCTCTCCTCCCACCCTGTTTTGCAGACAGTCGCAGTCTCTCTTCTTTCCGCTGCTGCGCTGCAGAGAAGTGACCTTCCAGCCATTCTCCTGTCTACTTCCTGTCTTACGAAGAAGTGCCAGGCCACAGATGCATGCCACCACATCTGGCTTCTTATATGCATTCAAGGAACAAGCACTTTTCCTCACTGAGCCAGCTCCCTGGTGCCCATCCCCACTTCAGTAATAGTCAATGTGATGGGCACCGCTCGGCTTTAAGAGGCGGAGTATCCTTTCAGTACTTATCAACAATTTGTATATCTTCTTTGGAGAAATGTCGATTCAAGTCCTTCACTGTTTGGATTTTTGTTTTTGTTTGGTTCGTGTGTGTGTGTGTGTGTGTGTGTGTGTGTGTGTGTGTGTGTGTGTGGTTTGTTTTTGTATTTGAGACAAGGTCTCTCCATGTACCCCTGGCTGGCCTAGTACTCATTCTGTGGACCAAGCTAGCCTTGAACTTGTATTAACTCCTAACTAGACAAGATTTTCAAATACCATCTCTCATTTTTCAGACCTTTCTACTCTGATGATAATGTCCCTTTTTGCGCAAAGATTATTAGTTTTGATGAAATCAAGTGACTCCATTTTATTTAGTGTCAGAGTGGCACTAAATAGTGTCAGGGTTGGTTAATCACAAATATCCAATCCACTTAATTGCAAATGTATCCAATGTCTTTCTTGGATGAGAAAAAGTTCGTCAGTTCACGTAAAAGAAGGTCTGGGTCTGACCCAGCGAGACCCAGCAATCACATCACATTCTCTTTTTCCATCCTTTCTCTTACCTTCCACTGGGTTCCTACACACTCACTTAAGTTCTTCCCAGAAGCACCAAGCTGTCACAGTCCTCCCAGCTGATAACGTAGGAGAAAAGAAAGAAAGCCTTCCGTTCTGGGCACATAAAAACTCTTGAGGCACAGTCTAACTGATTACCTCCAAAGCAATAACTATGAGGAGTTTGGAGGGATGTTCCGATTGGTCAGCTCTGGATCAGGTGGAGTAGGATTACTCCTGAATAGGAAGAGCCACTGGACAGGCAGACATTCCTCCCCAGAAGGTACGTAAGAAGCTGATGGGCATCTCAGGTTGGTCAAGGGGCTCTGCTTCAGAGGACAACCCTCATGTTGGACTTCCCATGGATGTAGGGAGATTCCTTCTAGTTGGTCCTGAAGACTCCCTGGAGGAGGCAGCTCCTCTGGAGATCCGTAACTGATAAAGGGTGAGCCCAGGGCTGATTTCTCCGCCTTCCCAGACCCTCCTCAGCGCAGCTGTGCGCTGTAGTGATGTGGACTCGGAGTTCATAGCCAGTAGTCCTTCCTCTGTCTGTACTACCTTGAGCTAACTAACCTCTCTGTGTATTGCTTTCTCATCCCGAGGAGATAATGACCAGTTCTATCTCACAGGGTCTTTATGAGGCTCGAATGGGCACACATAAGCTCCAATCGTCTGTCTCATGGTCGTCACTAGCCCTGCCTTTTCTACCCATAGTTTCGAGCACACTGGCATCTCCTGCTCTGCTCGACACCTTCAAGGGCCTCATCCGGCCTCTGCCCCCTCTGTTTACAGAGCCTGAGATGCCCATGATCTCCTGATTCGCTCGGCTCTTTCCTTGCCGCTTGCTCCTTGGTGAGGCTTCTCTGTCTGCAGAATCCCTTCCTGCTTAAGTCTCCTGAAGGACCCAGACACTGATGTCTGCTTAGAATTATGGGAAGTGTCCCCGTCCACACTGAGCTCCTGAGGGGGACGGGACCTGGTTGTCCTAGCCATGCATTTTTTTCCCCCAGTGGGAGCCTGCCAGCTATCACTATGAGAAGAGCAGGCTAGGGACGGAAACCGTGCTGGCCAGGGAGCAAAGGAGAGCACAGCTGGCCCCAGGAAATGAGCAGATCGGGGTTGGGGAGGTTGCGTGTGAGAGGCAGGGTGGGTCGGTGCTAAGAAGAGAAGTCAGCAGGCCTGGGTTCTGTGGAACTTGACTCTGGGAAGCTAGCAAGGACAAGGAAGACCTGAGGAGGTCCGGATTTTGCTGAGCCAGGTCTGCTGGTTTGTGGAAAGAGGATGAGCTGACAAATGAAAACACAGAGGAGGAGCAGAGCTTGGGAGCTGGTGTGGGACAGCCTCAACTCTCCCAACAAGGAAAAGGCAACCAACAGGCTCCAGTCTACTAGCCTCTTCTTGGGAGGATGGAAGGATTTTTTTTTTTTTAACAGTGTCTCATGTAGACCAGGCTGGCCTCAATCTCACTGTGTAGCTGAGGATGATACTGAACTCTGGATCTTCCTGGGTCTACCTCTTAAGTGTTAGGGTTACAGATGGAACCACCATGCACAGCTTATATGGTGCTAGGGACTGAACCCAGGGCTTCACGAATGCCAGACTACCTTACCAACTGAGCTGATCCCGACTGAAATAGTCACTCTCTTCCACATGCCATTCCATAGATTCTCTCGACCCCTCCCTCACCCTGCATAGGTCCAGATTAAGCAAAGACTAGATATTCGGGGACTTGGTCAAGTTTGTAGGCTCCAAGACCAGAGCACATATCCCCACCCCGAGGGCTGGGAGATGCAGGACCAGGACACCGCATAGCTGAGTCCTGTTGATGAGACATCCCACTCCAACTGGCTGGGTGTGACCCTGAGTTCCACCACCCAAGAAGAAACCAGACCAGATCCACAGCACTCTGGAACAGATGGCACATGGTTCCTTCCTGTTTTGCTCTGTTCGGCCTGGCATTGCAGAGACACAGCCCATCATGGGAGGGAAGTGCCTCTTGGGAGCCAAGCTAGATGCCAGAGCCAGGCCTAGGGGCCAGAGCCTGCTCCCATTTGAACTCTGCCCTGTCTAGCTGAATGTCTTTGGGGTTCATTTGTCTGCTGCCCTGACACCCACCCCAGCAAGCACATGGCCATGCTGTCCCCGAACCAAGTGCCTGGCTTCCTTTGGGCTCAGTTTCCTGTCCTGCAAAAGTGGGCACAATGAGAACTCATGAGTTCTAAGGGCATCTCTCTGCTGTCATAGGCGGATGATCCACATGGGCCTGAGCGGGGGACCAAGTCCTGGAATCTTCCAAGTTCGCAGAAACCTGAACCAGTACCTTGCTTTTCTGGGAGCGGGGAGCCAGATCAAAGCAGTGGGAGTGGGGATGGGACTCGAGGTGCGAAGGTACCTACAGGGTGACTGAGGTGCTTCCGAAGGGTACCACAGAGTCACCTGGTCCCAGAGGTCCTGCTGCCTCCTTTCTTTCTTTCTTTCTTCCTTCTTTTTTTTTTTTTTTTCAAGACAGGGTTTCTCTGTGTAGCCTTAGCTGTCCTAGAACTCACTCTGTAGACCAGGCTGGCTTCAAACTCACAGAGATCCGCCTGCCTCTGCCTCGAGAGTGCTGAGATTAAAGGCCTGCGCCACCATGCCCACCCAGTCTAGCTGCCTCTTTCTAAAGTTTCCATTTCCCTCCTATAGGGTCCGGGCAGGGGCTGGGCCCTTTCCTGGAAGCTGTGGGAGGAGTGCTTCTGCCCCCCACCCCCTCGCCCCACATCTGCTTAAGTGGTGCTGGGATCTGTCAAACCACAGTCACCTGCAGCCTCTGAGCCCCTCAACCCTCCAGGCTGGCCGGATCATGTTGGAGGTTTCTTTATGAGCTCCTCAGTCTCATCTCACCGACCTCATCTAGGGGACGGGGCGCCTGCTGTTCCTCCTCACTGTGCCCTGTGCTTGGCCACAGGGCTGTGAGAAGTGGGTGCACACAGGAAGTGGAGGGCTCGCCCACAAGTATGACTATGAGGGAGGAAGAGGCACAGCTGGAGAGACAATATGAGGTCAATGGAGAACTGTAGCTGAAAGGGAAGTGCTGGCTGAGGGTAAGGAACCAGCATGGCGGGGAGCTAAGGCGGGGAAGGGTAGGAGGAGGCATGGCGCCGCAGGACTGCGGGGGATGAGGAAAGAAAGGAGCAGATGGCTCATTAGGTGGCAGGAAGTTGAAGCTGGTCCATTTGAGGTCTGCTGGGATTGAAGATGTAGAAGTGAGAACAGAGATAAAGCAGGCCTAGAAGAGAGAGGAGTGAGCTCATGCCAGATCAGGCAAAAGGTTGAAGAACCAGCACGGGGGCGGAGACAGCGGGACCCAAGTCACGTGCTCTAGCCGTGCTTAGCAAGGTGTGAGGCTGAACCAGCCTGATGGTGCCATGCTTGAGGGATACCAACTCACTAGCTGTGTACACGCAGGTCTGGGTCCTGGGGTGGGGTGCAGGTGGCAGAGGCCAGAGTGCTACTGCACCAGAGACTGGATCAGAGGCCCCACACAGAAGTGGTGATCATGTAAAGCTAGAAGCTGGGACCACTGGCTGAGCAGACAGAAGCCAGTCTGGGTGCCTGGAAGAGATTCAGATTAGAGAGGAGAGGCCTAGAGACGGCAGAGGGCAGGGCAGAGGACCGAGGCAGGCAGGCAGCCTCTTCCCCACTTCAGCTCCAGCCGGGACTCTTCATATCCCAAACTGCTCATAAAGCCAGACAGAAACAGCTCCAGGAGTAGCCTGTACATGCACCTCATCTCTGCTGCTCCCGATCCCCCAAACCACACACTGTAAGTCAAATGGCTCGCTGCACGAAGTTCAAGCCAAGTTCCCTGCTTCCTCAGCAGATTTCTGCTCCTAAGGTACTTGTGTACAGGTACTTGGGCCACTCCTGGAATTCAGTCCTCCCAAAAATACTGCGCACCTACTGTATGCCAGGCACTGTCCCAGGACACAAAGGAAAGGTGAAAACCTGGTAGTACATCCCAGTGGAGAAGGAAGTCAACAAATAAGAGAACGGTTGTTCAAAGATGGCGCGCGCAGCCAAGCACAGTAATGCACACGTGGAATCCAAGCACATGAAAAGCTAAGGCAGGAGGATCACCACGAGTTCCAGGTCAGCTTGGGCTACAGAGTAAGACCCTGCCTTGAAACAAACAAAATGGGCCTGGTGTATAGCTTGGTCAGCAGAGTGCTTATGTAGCATCCACGAAGCCCTGGGTCCATCCTCAGACTGCATAAGCTAGGTGTGGTGTGCTGGTTCACACCTGGGAGGTGGAGGCAGGAGGATGAGAAGTTCAGGGTCATCTTCAGCTGCATAGTGAGTCTGAGGTTAGCCTGGGCTACAAGAGTGTCTGCCTCAAAAAAAAAAAAAAAAAAAAAGGGAAGGAAAGAGAGAAAGAAAGAAATTTGAAAGAGAGAAAGAAAAAGGATGTGGAGGGAAGGGGGTTGCTGAGATGGCTCAGCAGGTAACGGAGCTAGCCCTCAAGTCTAACCTAAGGTCAGTCTCCTCCCAGGATGAGGAGAGCACCAAGTTATTCTTTGACCTCCAACACTTACACCATGACTCTCTCTAGCCACATGTGTGCACACATGTAAATAGGTATTAAAAAGCACACATATAAATAAATAAATGTAATAAAAAATCTAAAGGTGCTGAGGAGAAAAATATAACAGATTGAGGAAATCCCACACACAGGTAGCAGGTGGTGATTTTAGCTAGGATAGCAGAGGAAGGCCTCCCATGGAGGATGTCGTTTGAGTGACCCTGGAAGGAAGAGAGGTTTGGGTTCTTGATGCATATCACACATACCCATGGCAGGAGCTGCCTGTCACCGTCCACCCCCCTTCCCCCCACTTCACACGGAGTCAGGAGTCACCCTCACTTTGATACCCTTCTAATGTCCTTTCCAGGCCAACCTCAGACACCTACAAAACCCTCTCCCACCTACATGGGTGGGCCCCAGGCCAGTGAGGTTCACAGTGGAGGTTGAGAGCTGTTTGATGGAAGGAGATGTCCTGACCTCTCTGGTGCTGGGACTCCAAGTATGTACCACACTTGGCTACAAGGTTTGTCTTGAAGTTTTACTGTCACGTGGTGTGTGGTCCAGGTTTCCCTGGATCTGGGTGTGAGCTTAGGAATCCGGTGGTGGGAATGAAGGGCAGTTGATGAATGGCCTTGGCATAAACTCCACAGGGTGTCTCGGGTCCCAGGCTGCACTGGGGTAGAACCAGTAACTAAGTAGCCTATCCCAGGGCCCGGTGTGACCAAGCACATCTCCCAGTGAGCTTTCTCAACATAGCCTATGGCAGCCTGGCAGAGGAGCAAGCTCCCTGTCAAGGGGAGTATGCAAACAGGAGCCAGACAAGCCACTGGGGAGGCTTCAGGGGTCTCCTCTTGGGGGAGAAGAGGGACTCTCGGTCAGATGATCTTAAGGCCTATCTGGTTCAGCAGGTCCAGAACCCAGAGTCCAGAATGTCTTATCTCTGTTAGATGGGCTCAGGCCTCAGGAGATGCTAAGGATGTTTAGAGCAGGACCTCACTTCTCATGAGAAGTGAGGGGTCCTCCAAGGCTCCCTCTGGTCCAACCTTACACAGAGAACTGTACATAGAGCCAGATACCTTCGCTCCTCAGTGTCTTCACCTATAAAAACACTCAAGTGTGGGTGAACAGTCCTTCCTAGGGTTGGGGCTGGGGAATCACGCAGGCTTAGAGGTACAATTCCTGTGGTCATTCCCCGAGCCTCCAACAAACACATCATCAGTCAAGATCACTCAGTGGGTAAAGGTGATTGCCACCAAGCAACCTGAGTTCAGTCTCCAGGTCCCACATGGTGGAAGGAGGAAACTGATGCCCACAAATTGTCCTCTGACCTCCACATACATTCATACACACACACACACACACACACACACACACACACACACACACACACACACACACACACACACGGTAATTGATTGAACTCAATAGCACCAAGGATAGAGCTCTCTGGCTTATCTTCATGGACAGGATTCATTCACCCAACCTTTCCCAGGGTTTCCAGGGAACTGGAGATCCAAAAGCAAAGCCGATCTTGTCTCCAGTGTCTCACAGAATTGGAGGGGGGAGGGAGTGAGTGTGTCTGATCCAGGTCCCGTGGGCCCTGACTCTTAACCTCCATTGTCCTAACCTATTCCTGGGAAATGGTGCCATGAGGGGCCTATTGTGTGCACTGGCAAACTCCTAACCTCTTTGGCTTCAGGTTTCTGATAGGGAAATGTCACTTCTCTTCCCAGAACAGACTTTATCATTACTCAAATCTGCATTCAGCTCTCAACTGGCCACTGACTCACCGTCACCTCAGACACGTCACCACCTTGTCTGAGCCTAGTCATGTGACATGGTGACAAAATCTGAGAGACAATCATTTAAGGATTTCTTTCAGTTCATGATTCCCAAGCTTGCCATCTCTTGGCTCAGAGCTACGGGCCTGGGGCAATGCAGGAACAGCATAGAAAAGGGCATGGTGGAACAAGGCCGCTTCCCTGGTGGCAGCAAGCAGATTGAGAGCGGGGAGGGGGAAGAGGAGGAGGAGGAGAACAAGACCCGTCCTTTAAAATCTCACCCTCTTGACCCACTCTCTCCAACCACCAGTCCCTACCTTCTAATATCCCATCCAACGGGAACTGTGCAAGAGCTAATTCATAGAGAAGGTCAATGGCCTGGTGATCCTGTCACCTATCTAGTTACCAGCTGGGGACAAAGCTTTTAACATATCAGCTTTGTAGGGAGACACCACATCCAAACAATAGCCACCCCCCCACACTCCTCATCTGCAAAGTGGGACCAGTAAAGCCCATCCCATGTAAGATCCTGGTACCACAGCCCTTAACCTAGTGCTGGCTTCCACTAATCAGCCACGAAGTTAGCAGTGAGTATCAGGGAAGATGGGGCTCAAGGAGGAAAGTGACCTCTCTAGGACACACAGCAGGTGGAGTCCAGATGAGTTCCATGGTCCCACCAGGAGCTACTGAGATGACAGAGGTCATTCTGAGAACCTCCCTGGCTGGCATGGTGTCCACCAGACAGTTTTGTGTCCCCACCTCCCCTCCCGTTCTAGTTTCCCAGGCAGAGATGATGGGATCCTGGACCAAAACTGTGTGAGAAGATGGGGAGGCCCTACTGCAGATCAGAACTACAGGCAAGATGGTGATTTAAAATTATATATTTAAAGCAGAGCAGTGGTGATGCACGCCTTTAATCCCAGCACTCAGGAGGCAGAGGCAGGGGGATCTCTGTGAGTTCGAGGCCAGCCTGGGCTACAGAGTGAGTTCCAGGACAATCATGGCTGTTACACAGAGAAAACTTGTCCAGAAACACACACACACACACACACACACACACACACACACACACACACACACACACAATTTAATTATGTGTATGTGTGTGCATATGTGCACATGAGTATGGGTGCCTGTGGAGGTCAGAAGCATCAGATTCCCTGGAGTCGAGTCCTAGGCAGTTGTAAGCACCTGATCGGAGGCTGGGAACCAAACTTTGGTCCTCTGTAAGAACAGTATAAGCTCTTAACCACTGAGCCGTCTCTCCAGGCCCTTCTTCTTTTCTTATTTTCTTCTTTCCCTCCTTCCTTCCTTTCTCCCCCGACCCTTTTTGAAATAAAATCTCATGTATGCCAGGCTGGCTTTGAACTCACATAGCTGAGGATGACCTTAAAACTTTGGCTCTTCCTGCTTCCATCTCCCCCATGCCTGGGCTATGCGGCACTGTAGACTGGACCCAGGGTTTTATGAACTTTAAGGAAGAACTAACAGCTACATCCCCAGCTCTTCTTTCTAATTCGCTATGTAGCTGAGGATGACCTTGAACTCCTAATGCCCCTGACTCTACCTCCCAAGTGTAAGGATTATAGGCCGGCACCACCATGCCTGGCTTTGGACGGTTGATATCAAGGACAGAAATCCAGGTCTAGTGGACTGAGGCAAAGTAAGAATTTATCAGCGTGTACCACTACAGTCCAGTGGGAGGCTGAAGCCTCAGGTACAGCTGGATCCAGAAGTTCCACGGTGTTCTCAGGGACTCCTGTGCTCCTTGTCCTTACACTGCCACCCTTGGGTTTTGACAGTCCCCTCCCTTGTGGTTTTATCTCCAGGACCTAGGACCATGCCTGGAACACAGTCTCACGCCTCCCAGCTTTGACAGCCCTACAAAAACCCTTCTCCTTCTCAACCATTCATCAAAACTCCCACCTGGACTTCCAGATGCCCAGTGGGGGAGTCTCACCACCCCTGAGGTGGTCACACACTCGTCTCACACGGGCGAGTCACTCTTCCGCATCCTCCAGGCTCTGAAATGAGGGCTCCTCCAGAAACACCTGCATGGCAGGCAAGTGCTAGGCCCGAGCCATCTCTGTTCCATCACCACCCGAAGCCTGGCTACTGGAGGATGGACAGGTCTGCAGCACTCGTGGTCTGCAGCCAACCGCAGTCCTTACAGCTGAGCAGCAGGCACTCACTGGGTCCTGAAGTCACTGAGTCCACAGAGAGAGGAAGGGATGGGAGAGCCTGGGGTCCAGGCACAGAGCAGGGTGCCTCCCACACCAGCTCCAGGGCCAGCCTTTATTGGAAGTGCTGGGTGGAGGCAGTGGTCCCAGAAAGAGGGCTATGGACCAAAGTAAGCAAAGGAAGGGGCCCCAGACCCAGGCTGCAGCTGCTTCTTCATGCTCAAAATGGAGCTTTCGGTTCCACTTGGTCCCTGCTGGGCAGAGGGGGAAGGGGAAGTAAAAGAGAGAAGAGAAAGCAGATCCCTGTCCCCCTGCAGTCCTGTGCTGGGTTTACCAGCTGTAGCCTGGTGGGATCAGAACTGTCCTAATAGGGATTCTGTCCCTTGTCCACTGTCCTCCAGGTGCCGGGGACTGGTATCAGGAACCAGCCTCAGGCTGGCTGGAGGTAGGCTCCAAGGCACTCAGGCTGGATGCCACGCAGAGTCAGGGCTGGGTGGTGCCTGGAGAGGGCATAATGTCTCTGTAAGGAAGGGAACATGCTACCATAAGTTTCTCAGACTCAGAGAGGGTGGATAGCTGGCCCTAAGCCACACAGCAGGCTGATGGTGGGTCTCAGCCTGACTCAGAAGAAGGAAGCCAAGTCTTGACCCCACCATCCTGTACCTCTGCTGCTAAATTCATGGGGCTGGGGTACAGCAAGTGGGTTTCCTGGCAGGGAGGCAGTCGAAAGCTTGGAAGCCTCGTCACAGGTCCAGCAGCAGCAGGGCATTGCTGGTAGGTGGTGACTCAAGCTTCCAGCTCCCGCCCCTGTCCCACAGGCTTCCTCGTCCCTCTAGATGTGGAGGGTCAGTCAAAGGGCATCCTGAGACCCCAGGATCTAGGTAGCACCAAGAGCACAGAGTCACTTCTTCCTGGTGTTGGCATTCAGTCGATGATGCAGCAGAACTGTCCTCATAGTTGTGATCTGGACTAAGAAAAGGAAGCAAGTAGAGGTTGTCCCTCGGTGGGGTGAGGGGCTGCAGTGTTTCTGCTGGTGGTACACCCAGGTGCCTGGGGTAGAGATGGGTGGAAGATGCCTGGCATCAGGGCGATACTCCTGGCTGGACACTCAAATGGCTGCTGTGAGGCACATCGAGAGGGTGAGGATCAGACAGAGGCCTGAGCCTGTTGGGGTGTATAAATAGGAGGAAACCTGAGGAGGGCCAGAGGAACAGGGCTAGGGACGTGTCCCGGGCTTGCTCAGTGCCAGCCTGACGGGAGGTCCCCGAGGCACCAGCCTTGTCCTCGTCAGCTGTCCACCAGCGCCATCTCATGGCTGCAGGCTCTCATTGCAGGGATGACTCCCGTCACTGGAGGAGCCACAACCACTTAGAGGTGTGACCCAAGTTTTGCCCCAGGACCAGCACCCCATTTTCCTTAGGCCTTCAAAGTGGCCTCAACTCTGACTGACCCTGGGTCACAGGAGACAGTCCTGGGAACACCACAAGAAGCTAGCTACTGGGAAGAAGGACAGATCACCGAGCCTGCTGGATCTCCTGGCACACACACACACAAATAAACCATAGGTGCCCAATTTGTACACAGCTGGCCAAGTGTTTACCTGCAGCTCAATCATGATCTCACTTTGGTTCAAAGTGTTGGCTCCCCCTTGGTTCCATAGTCCTGTGAAGTGGGCTTGGGGTAAGCTAGTGCCCGGATGACCTCTACATTCTAGAAGCTTCTCTACAAGTGACAGGGTAATAAGTCCTGTCTATGGTATTCCGACATGCAGGTGGCAACTCTGACATTCTAGCCAGCAGCTGAGAGAGGCAGATGGGCGTGGGAGGGGAGCAGGATGTAAGCCCTGCCCCCACTTACCAGCTCGGCACTCATTCCCTGCCCCGCCCTACCCCCACCGACTTGCCTCAGTGGCTCCCCACCGGAGCCCATCTTCAGGTCACCTTCTCTGAATGCTGCCTCCACCCTGAAGAACAGTGAGAAGTCACTTCTCACCCTCCAGTTGTTCCAACAGCTCCATTTCTGTGCCCATCACCACCCCCACTCTCACAAGCCTGGGTCTTTGTATAGAAGGGACTGTGACTGCTATGGGGGATGTGAGGGGAATTGATGGCATACAGTAGGTGCTTAACAAAGGCTTGTGGCAAAAAGGACATGTGGGAAGGAAAGCGTGAGAAGTAGCTGGGTAAGCAAGTTCCTAAGTGGATTGCCATCTCGAGAGAGGCACTGACAGGAATGTCAGTAGATGACCTACCAAGTGAGTGGATGGAGGATGAGTACAGGAGTGCAGGATCAGAGAAGTGAATGGATTCCTGGTGACCCAGGTGTGGCAGCTAAGGGAAGGACCAGGAACTGCCATAACCCATCTGCCCATTTAACAGATGAGAACACTGAGGGAGAGCTGGGTGGAAGGCATCTGCTGGGTCTGTAGGGCTGGGTCTGCTCACCCCCCATCCCTCTTTCTGTTGCCTTGTCCCCTCCTCCCACGGCTGGAGAGTTCTGGGAAGGATGCCTTTTGTTTGGCTCTTTTTTCCTCCAGTCTGTTTCCGCCAGGCTAAGGTGTGGGGGGTGGCAGGGAGGTGCTCCCCCCCAGGGCTATTTCAGTCAGAGCCAGCAGGGTCAGGAAGCAGAGGAAGCTGTCCAAAGTCACTTCAGAGATGCTACAGAGTGGCTGAGGACAGGAGCGTGGGCAGACCCGTGTCTGAGGGTCCTTTGCCCCAACACACTTGGTACCATTGACCTGAGATGGTAATGAGACGCTGCCTGTGAGTATCTGTGTCTTGAGGAAACAGGCCAGTAAGGGGTGGGACAGTAAGGGGTGGTTGGACACCTTGGCAAGCTGGGTGGGGTCTGCTCAGCCGGGGACTCAAAGGAGGGATGCCATGGGCTCATGAGTTTGGGGGTGCTTAGGTTATGGCTAACAGAGGTGAACTAGGAGCGAGCGCATCTGTGAAAAGATCAGCAAAGATGGACAGGCCAGAGAGGATGCTAGGTCTCAGCTGCACTGGCCGTTGGGAACAGTGGGATGAGTGAGGAAGAGCAGGAATGAGGGGAGTGTGGCGAGGACTTGGGGACCTTCAGCCACAGCCAGAGGAATGATGAGGGATTTGAACACCAGGGGCAGAGCTGAGGTGTTTCCTGAGAGCAGAGGAACCTCTTAAAAGGTTCCTACTGCAGGCAGCATGGCTGGAGTCCAGAAAAAAGCTGGGATTTGAGCTAGTCGAGGACTTAGGGTCTGAGAGTGGATGGCAGATATGACAGCCAACATCAGTTGCTGTTCACGGTTGGGGTCAAGGGAACCCTCCCACTAGTCACCACCCCAGGAGAGGGAACACTCAGCTCCCTTGGTCCTCAGAGACAGCGCGGAGTATCATCGGGGAGTGGATGATGCCCGAGGTCTACTCAAAGGTCTTTTCTGCAGCTCTTGCTCCTTCCAAGGAGAGAGTCTTAGAAAGACCAGTCTCCCCAGAGGCTGGAGAAACAAGAGGTCACTACAGTTTCCTCCATGTGTGGTCAGAGAACCACAGGCCCCCCTAAGGAAGGACAGGAAGACAGCCACTTCCACCCATGCCTGTCCCACTCTGTCCCTACCTGGGCTGTCCTTCCTCCTACTAATGAAAACCCTCCTCAGCCACCAGGATCTTCATTCTCTTGGGAAAGCTTTTTATTTACTTATTTAACATTCACATCTAGTTTCCATTTCTAATGCTTGGCCAGTTTGGCTTCTGATTGGTTCCATCTCTGTGATGCTTGGCCAGCCTGGATCCTGATTGGTTCCCCCTTGAGAACTGGAGTTTCACTCTGGCCACCAGGGACTACCACCAGTTTTGTTGTTGTTTGTTTGTTTATTTTTATAATTTTTGTGTGTTTTTGCCTGTTTTTGTGTCTGTGTGAGGGTGTCCGATCCCCTGGAACTGGAGTTACAGACAGTTGTGAGCTGCCATGTGGGTGCCGGGAATTGAACCTGGATCAGTGCTCTTAACCACTGAGCCATCTGCATGGGTGCTTGTGCATGTTCATGTGTGTGCAAATACCAGAGGCATTGGACCCTTTGAAGCTGGAGTTACAGAGAGCTGTGAGCCTCCTGATTTGGGTCCTAGAGCAGTAGTGAATGACATGAACTGCTCTAGCCTCCCCCCCCACCCGCTAAGGTCAACTGGGAGGAAGTTTCCTTAGCACCTGAGTCACCTCTCTGGGTTCACAGATAAGCTGAGACCGAAAGAACGATGGCTCTGAAGGTGGAATTCAGGCTGAGGACGCTGGCGTTTCCCTCGGGGAGCTCTCGGGGTGTGCACTGTCCACAGGGGTAAACGAAGAGCCACCAGAGCACCTTGTCCTGGACCCAATCTGCCTTGAAGACGCGGAGGAACACCAAACCTGGTACTTCCTCCTAAAAGGTCTTCGATCTGCATGAGACAGGTACATACCATTACCACATCCCTACCCCCTAGGGAGCTCCGGAGAAGTCGTGTGTGTGTGTGTGTGTGTGTGTGTGTGTGTGTGTGTGTGTGTGTGTATGTGTGTGCTTCTAACCTAAAGACAACCTTCCCTTATTCCTCCAATAGGGAGAGTGAGGAGATAAATCCCCACCCCAAGATCATGTGGGCAGGAAGCAACACAGCTGTAATTTGAACCCAAGCCCATCAACGCCCCCCTCACAGAAGAGACAATTGACTAGGGTTGTGAGGGATGAATAGAAGTTCACTGGGAAAAGCTGAGAGGAAATCAATACTAGAGAAAGAAATCGGCTTTGATTTCTCTCAAGCTTGAGCTTTGTCAGAGCACACATTTCCATGATATGAGATCTGTATGGATCTTTGTGGGGTGATGAGCCTTAAGAGGCGACCAAGTTAAGGACTTACTTGTTCAGATAGTTCAAGGCGTAGATAGGGCCCACGGGGTCGCCAGTGAGCACGCCACTGATAGGATGTGTATTACTTCCCCAGCTTCTCCCAGCATAGGAAAAGCAGTTGGGCAGTTATGGAGCAGGACAATGGCACCATCCAGGCGCCTGGCTTGCCGCCCACCACGTGCGTCTACCGTGAGGATTTCAAGCGGCTGCTGCTACCCCCGGTATACTCAGTGGTGCTGGTGGTCGGCCTGCCACTGAACATCTGTGTCATCGCCCAGATCTGCTCATCCCGCCGGACCCTGACCCGTTCAGCTGTGTACACCCTGAACCTGGCACTGGCAGACCTGCTGTATGCCTGCTCCCTGCCCTTACTTATCTATAACTACGCCAGAGGGGACCACTGGCCCTTCGGAGACCTGGCCTGCCGCCTCGTGCGCTTCCTCTTCTATGCCAACCTACACGGTAGCATCCTGTTCCTCACCTGCATTAGCTTCCAGCGCTACCTCGGGATCTGCCATCCCCTGGCCCCCTGGCACAAGCGTGGGGGTCGCCGCGCTGCCTGGGTGGTGTGTGGAGCCGTATGGCTGGCTGTCACAACTCAGTGCCTGCCCACAGCCGTCTTTGCTGCCACGGGCATCCAGCGCAACCGCACTGTCTGCTACGACCTGAGCCCACCCGTCCTTTCCACCCGCTACCTGCCCTATGGCATGGCTCTCACGGTCATCGGCTTCTTGCTGCCCTTCACAGCCTTACTGGCCTGCTACTGTCGCATGGCCCGCCGCCTGTGCCGTCAGGATGGCCCAGCAGGACCTGTGGCCCAAGAGCGGCGCAGCAAGGCGGCCCGTATGGCTGTGGTGGTGGCGGCTGTCTTCGCCATCAGCTTCCTGCCTTTCCACATCACTAAGACAGCTTACTTGGCTGTGCGGTCCACGCCTGGGGTCTCTTGCCCTGTACTGGAGACCTTCGCAGCGGCCTACAAAGGCACTCGGCCCTTTGCCAGTGCCAACAGTGTACTGGACCCTATCCTCTTCTACTTCACACAGCAGAAGTTCCGGAGGCAGCCCCATGAGCTCCTGCAGAAGCTCACAGCCAAGTGGCAGAGGCAGAGAGTCTGAGGCCCCAGGGCAGACCCCGAGGCACTGGCAGCCGCATATTTGCCATTGGTACCATGGTGCCAGAAGCTTTCCCCACAACCCCAAACCATACAAACAGTAAAACTTGGTTCAACAGGCCTGGATCTGGCCCTCAAGAAGTTCTACATCGACCACAAAGCTAAGACACCGATGTCTCGGGGGCTGGTCAATTCATGCTTGTTATCCCAGAACTCAGGAAGCTGTCACAGGAGGGTAACAAGCTCCAGGCCAGCCTGGTCTGTGCGGTGAAGCCCTGTCTCAGACAATCAAGAGTTGGAGCTACAGCTCAATAGCACATAACTGGAGTGTGCTAGCCCCTGGGCTTAATCCCTAACACTGCAAAATCCAACAAAGGTCTTCTCCCCAACCTTTCTTGTTTACAAGGTGGAGGGGACTGCTGGTGCACGATCACAAACGTGAAGGCAAGGTCTTGATCTCTGGGACCCACTTCTTACAAGGAGGAAGAAGCTGGGGGAAGCTCGTGTTCCCATCCACTTGCCAAAACTTTCGCGTAGGAGAGATAAATAAATGTGATTTTGTGGGGTTTGTTGTTTTGCTTTTGTTTGTTTCTAGGCCATGTCCCCAGCCCCAGCCAAAATGAACCCTTTAGTCAGATTTCGTCACCCCCTAGGTAAAGGCCAGGCAGTGGTTTAATTGGGATAGGGGTCAAGATGTAGGCTGGAACCTGAAGGAAACTAAGAGCCACTGACGGGCTGGAAATACCCAGGAGGCATCTTAAAGATGGCTGATAACCTGGGAGGGTCAGCCCCAGTGTGACTTGAGGCTGAGTGGGAGTACATGCATGTCATAAAACAGAAGACCAGATTACCCAAAACCACAGCAGGGATACTCCATCGTGGCTTTCACAGTGCCTCCTAATGGCAGGGATACTCTATCCTGGCTTTCACAGTGCCTCCTAATGGCAGAGATACTCCATCCTGGCTTTCACAGTGCCTCCTAATGGCAGGGATACTCCATCCTGGCTTTCACAGCTCCTCCTTATAGCAGGGATACTCTATCCTGGCTTTCACAGTGCCTCCTAATGGCAGAGATACTCCATCCTGGCTTTCACAGTGCCTCCGAATGTTTAATGCTTATACACTTTTGCCACAAGCACCTTTGTCCATGAGTTCCAAAGTCATACAAAAATTCATGGACACTGCCAATCCCTGACTATCCATTAAGACGATGGATCAATACCCTAGAATAGCTCATGCATCTAGAATTAATTATACCAACATGCAGCACTTAAGCCTTAGCAGTATAATATTAAAGAACAAGAAGTCTCTCCAAAGTATAAAGAACTAAAGCAGGGCACGATGGCTCACAGCACGTGGGAGGCCAGTCAGGCCACACAGATAGTTGAAGGTGGGCCTGGACTATGACACTTCTTTATATATACATATATATATATATATATAGATATATATAGATATATCATTATTATTATTTTATTTATTGTGTGTGTGATGATCAGAAACTTTCAAGAGTTGGTTTTCTTCTTCTAACATGTGGGTCCCAGGGATCAAACTCAGGAGGTCAGTCTTGGCAACAAGTGTCTTTACCTGCGGACCCCACACGCACTTCAAAAAACTAAAGCAATTACAGAAGCCTATAATTCTAGTTACTTGAAGGGAGGAGGCAGAAGGATTGAGATCAAGGCCTGCTGAGATTACAGAATGAGTTCGGGGCCAGCTTGAGTAACTTACTGGAACCCCGTCTCAAAAAAAGGGGGGGAGATGTGTGTTGGGGATTTAGTTCAGTGGTATACAATTTGTCTAGTATGTATGAGGTCCAGAGTCCAATCCTAGCAACACATACATATACTCACACACAGAGAGCAATGAAACAAAATGAAACTCAGAAGCATCCAAGTGGGACATGGTGGCACACACCTTTAATCCCAGCACTCGGGAGGCACAGACAGGCGGATCTCTATGAGTTTGAAGCCAGCCTGGTTTATACAGCAATTGTTCCAGGCCAGCCAGATCTACACAGTGAGACCCTGTTTGAAAAACAAAGAGAGGGCTGGAGAGATAGCTCAGTGGTTAAGAGCACTGGCTGCTCTTCCAGAGGATCTGGTTCAATTCCCAGCACTCACATGGCGACTCGAAGCCATCTGTAACTCCAGTTATGGGGCTTCTGACACCTTCATGTAGACATGCACGCAAGCAAAACACCAGTGCACATAAAACATAAATTATTAAAAAAAAAAACTAAACAGACAAAAAAAACAATACATGCCTGTAATGATCCTCAGAAACTAGAGGCTGAGGCAGGAGGACAGGAAGTTGAGGCCAAAAACAAAACAAAACAAAAGCAACAACAAAACCAACATCAACAAAAATACTAAAATGAAAATAATTTGAGGACTGTGTAACTGCAATAAAACCAAATAAGACAAAACCAGGAGCTGGAGAGATGGCTTAGCAGTTAGGAGCACTTACTGCTCTCGAGGAGGACCCAGGTTCGGTTCCCAGTACCCACACGACAGCTCATAAGTGAACCCCTCTTTTGGCCTCCTCGGGCAGTAGTCACACTCATGGTGCACATACATACATACAGGCAAAACATTTATTCATACACACACACACACACACACACACACACACACACACACACAAGTACCTCTTAAAATAAAACAAAAAAGCCAGGCACAGTGCTGCATGTAATCCTAACACCTGGGAGGAAGAGGCAGGAGGAACAGGGGTTGGAGGTCATCCTCAGCTATACAAAGAGTTTGAGGCTGAGATGGGTTACAAGAGATCCTGTGGGGGGCAGAGAGAGGAGAGAGAGAAAGGAGAGAAGGAGGGAGAGAGAGAGAATATATGAACACTGATTAGCACAGGTCTGAGACGGGTCTGAGGCTGTCCCTCAGTGGTGGGACACAGGAATGAGACGGAAGTTACTACAAAGGTCCTGGCTGTTTTGTTTTTCGGTAAGAGTCAGCCAAGCAAGTGATGAGAATATAAAGTGAACAAGAGATGCTGACTAATGAAATCCTAGGCACCCCAGGTCTAATGTGTGGGTACAGTTAGTGTCCGAGAGACTGTTTGGCTTTGGAAAGGAGTCAGAAGCCAGATCTCCCCTTCAGAGAGCTCCTTTCCGGGGATACGTGGTTCTATTAAGTTCCATTGGCCATCCTGCACATGACCTTGATCATCCAACCTTTCCATATTGATTTTTCCCAAGGACTTCTACAGCTCTGACCTCACAAGGTTACCTGCTGAGTGAGTAGATCACACTCATTCATTCCCCCACAGAAGAGAAGCCTGGGGCTCACAGACACTCACATGGCATCTCACAACCTTCTTGGAGACCTGAGCTCCAAGGGAATCTGAACACATATAGGAAGACAAAAGAGACACACACAGGCAGGCAAGAACACCCACATACATAAAGCAAAACAAAAATAAAAAGAGGCCGGAGTGAGATGCCACTCTGCCTGGCCAAGATCCTTAAATATCCTCCCTCCTCACAAGTGGGGCTAGAGGCCAGGCTAGCTTACTTCAGCCAAGCATAGGTGGCAGGACTCTTGGGGCCTATGACTTGAGTTTCTATTCCTCTCCATCAGTTTGCCTGTTTGTGATGTGAGATAAAGACCTGTTTCAGAAGTGTCATGAAGGCAAAATTTAATAGTGCAGAGAAGCTGGAAGAGCACATACTTCAGACCTGGGGCTGTTGCTGAGCAGTAGAGGACTGAGTACCAAGCATGCCCAAAGCCCTGGGTTTGATCCCAGTACAACAAAAGAAAAGACCACGTCATGCCATAGGAACCATCATCATGGAGGGAGACAGTGATTCCATACACACCTGAACTTGCTTAGAGGAACCTGACCCCACGCCCTTCTCACCTTTCAGACAAGGCAGCTGTGGCCCAAAGAAGCATGGAGGCTTATTCATTGTCACCAAGTAAGGCAGAACAGAGCGGCACAAGCCCGGCAGGGCTCTCTTCCTTGCCCACTAATTTGTCAGTGGTGAGGACAAGATTTACCGCTTATACCCATTGAGGCAGAACTGAGATAAAATTGGGCAAGGGACTAGCAAGAGGCTGGTCTCAACTCAGGAGGGCTATCTCCACGCCTGGAGCCTTCCTACAAACTAATGGGTGGTCCAGTAGGAGAACAGCTTCTTACCCTGGGGGTTGTGTGAGCAGCAAGGGCCTGGGGTCCAGCTAGAGGCTGCCTTCCCTTACTCTGCAGTCAGCATTCTGCCCTCCCCCATCTTGGTCCCCACATCCGGTTACTGGCGCTGAGTGTCTTTGGCTGGGACCGATGCGGCCCTGGGGTTGGTTGGGGAAAGCATGCGCCACTGACCTTAACTGCTTATGAGGTGAGCATGGGAGGAATCGGGCCTACATGTAACAGAGCGGAAGGAGTTTGTCCTGTTCCCAAGGAGGCTGAGCTCTGCCCACCGCCCACTGACAGAGAGGCAGGGCTGCTGGGGACAGACCCTCCTTCTTCATCAAGATCTGAAGCCAGGGAAAGCTGTCTGAAGGCGTGTGATGATGATTGAAGACCTTAAAGTCTGAATTTGAGTCACACGTGAGCTGCCCTTTCCCTCCGACTTCTACAACGGCCTTTGTTACGTCTTTAATAGCATTTATCCCCAAGAGTAGCTCGAGGAATAAATAAAATATATAAACTATTACCCGTACCTCCTAGGCAGTCCATATAGACTCACTCATTTAGATGTAGAGTCCTACATTTAAACCGTCTGGGCAAAGAGGGACCTAACAGAAGCAGATGAGGGTGGGAAGAAATTGACGCCTCAGTAACCAGAACAATTTTAGACTTGCCAGACTGCAGTAGAGGCGGGAGGGGAGCTCTAGGGTAGATCATTGTTGCAGCAAGAGAGACCTACACCTTCCTGGTCTAGAGGGTGGGGCAGCCGCAGGTAGGAGTATAGGTTTGGCGGTAGGAAGATGAGGGCGTTCCCGTCCAACCTCCCTTTGTGCGGAATGCCGAAGAAAGGGCAGAGTGCTTGGCAAAGTAAGGGGGCAGGAAACGCCTGAAAGCGAGTGAAACCTTCTAACTCTTCCATGGTTGGTTGTGGGTGGATGGGGTTTTATCTCCACTGAGCTCGGAGGGAGCGAGAATCCGGCCCGCAGAGGGCGCAAGAGCCACGTACCCCCGACCGCAGGGAGAAGGAGGAGGCGGGGTGTAGAGATTAGAGGCTGCCCGGACCAAGAGGCGGGGTGGGCAGCTGGGAAAATGGAGCGGGGAGTTGTGTGTAATAGTCCTGAGAGGTGGGACTTCTAGAGCAGCACAGGGTGGGTTAAGGGACAGTCAGAGATGGACAGGCCCCAGGGAGGTGGGATATAGGTGGAGCGTTTGAGTGCGGGGCGGAACATGGGCGTGGTGCAGCGGGATTCGCCGCTGAAGGATGGGTGAGGGGCGTGGTCTGAGCAAGGTGGGGAGCCGCAAGCGCTCGGGTGGGCCTGCCCCGCCCACGTCACCCTGGGTCCCACCTCTTTTCCGGCCCGAAGAGTTTCTGCGTGTACCTGAGTATCGGTGTGTACCAGAGTTTGTGGGTCTTGGGTTGCCATGTTGGAGCCCCTCCGGCAGAGGTTCCCGCGTGAAAGAGGCTCAGTCGCGGTGCTACGTTCTGCGGAGTTGTCCACTCTCTGAGCTCCCGTGTATCTGAACGAGTCCCCGGGGAGGATCAGCCCACAGCTTTCCCGACGGACTCCTCTAAGAGGGTCGTTTCGGTCTACAAATGTTCAAGCATCTTGTTTCTCCTTCGGCTCCTCCCTGATTCCCTCCCCCCACAGTGTTCCCAGCCTCGCGCGCTCCCGGAGCCCACCCCCTCTTTTAGGCGCCAGGCCCCGCCCCCCGCCCCCTTTCCTCTGCCTCAAAGTTTATTTGCAACAAAAGGGAGCAGAGAACTAGCAGCCTAGGGGGAGGAAGAGGGAGCTGGAGCGGGAGCTCGAGGGGAGGCAGGCCGGCCGCCGGGCTTCGCAGGCGGACTTGGAGTGCAGGAACCAAGCCTTGGCCCCTCGCCGGCCGGGCCGCGATGCCCCTGGCCGCTCTCGAGGAGGTTAAGGCTGGGCCTGGGGTCGACGCTGGGGCGAGAGGGGCCGCCCAGGATGAAGCCGCTGCGGTCCGCAGCCGCAGAAACTTGATCCTCGACTGATAAACCTCTGCTCCTGTCTCCGCACCCTCCTCCCCAGCCGCTGCACGCTGCGGGTGCAGGATCCAGGCTCTCGGACCGAGGCCACTGCGCGCCCTCGGAGCAGGGGTGCAGGGGGGGTTGGCCGCGGGGCCCCGAGGCCAGCCCCCCCGGAGTGACTGCCACCACCATGGCGGACGGGTCACCTCGGCCCCCACTTTATCGCAGCGTCTCGTTCAAACTGCTGGAGCGCTGGAGCGGCGGACCCGGGCCGAAGGAAGAGGACGCGGACACCCCCGGGTTGCGGCGCCGAGCTTCGTGCCGGCCAGCCGCGGCAGTCCCGGGCCAGCCCTCCCGGCGCGTGTCCAAGCTGGCGTCGGGGCCCCCGGCCGCCCCCGCGCAGCCGCGCCCGCTCCGTAGCCTCTCGCCATCCGTGCGCCAGCTTTCCCGGCGCTTCGACGCGGCGCGTTTGGACGACGACTCCGCTGGTGCCCGGGACGAGGGTTGCTCCCCCAGCACGACAGAAGAAGCAGCTGAAGGCACTGAGCGTGGGGCCTGGCCCAGCGTCACCGAGATGCGCAAACTGTTCGGCGGCCCGAGCTCCAGGAGACCAAGTGTGGACTCTGAGGCCCTGGGGACGACCAGCCCCGACGGAGCTTCGTGGGAGTCCCCAGTTCGTGAGCCCCGGCAGCCTCCAACGCCACCTCCTCGAACGTGCTTCCCTCTGGCTGGTTTGCGTTCTGCACGGCCGCTGTCCGGGCCGGGGATCGAGGGGAGGCGACGTCGGCAGCAGCAACAGGAGCGGGCGCAGCGTCCGGCGGATGGTTTACATTCTTGGCATAGCTTCTCCCAACCGCAGGCCGGGGCCCGGGCCTCCTCCTCCTCCTCCATTACCTCCTCCTATCCTGTCAGCCGCAGCCGGGCTGCTAGTTCCAGCGAGGAGGAAGAGGAGGGACCGCAGCCACAGCTTGGGCCGCAGAGTCCGGCCTACCTCGGCGGCCACTCTTCAGGCAGTGATGAGGACCCAGATGGTGAGGATGGCCGTCGCTGGAGAGGGAGAGGGTTCAGGCCTGGAAACTCTCTGTTGGTTCGTGGCTGCAGCCAGGACAGTGATGAGCTAAATTCGGGCGGCTTGGGATCAGCAGGTGGTGTCAGGAGCCCCGAACCTCCAACATCTCCAAGAACCTCTATGGAAGAGGGACTCCGGGAGTGGGGTACTGGCATGCAGCCCTGCGTCCCAGGTCCTCAAGAGAGCTTAAGGCCTCTGTCTGACACTGGGGGAGCACCTTTCCGTGTGGCGAAGGTGAGCTTTCCTGCGTACCTGGCCAGCCCAGCTGGCTCCCGAGGTAGTAGTCGCTATTCTAGCACTGAGACCCTCAAGGATGATGAACTATGGTCCAGCCGCAGTTCTGTGAGCTGGGGTGTGTATCGCTCCCCGAGTTTTGGAACGGGAGAAGGGCTCCTTCTGCGGCCCCAGACTAGGTCCCGCACAAAGGGACCTGTAAGCACCACCAGGCCTCTGAGGGATGGAGGATTGGAGCTAGACAAGAACCGACAGCGCAAGTCACTATCGAATCCAGATATCGCCTCCGAGACGCTGACGCTTCTCAGTTTTCTGCGCTCAGACCTTTCAGAGCTGAGGGTCCGAAAGCCCAGTGGGGGCCCCGGGAACAGTCCCCTAGATGGCGGAGACTCACCATCACCAGGTAGCCCAGTGGAGCAACTTGAGTCCATGCCACCCCAAAGTCCAGCGTCACCCACCACTCGACCCACCCTCAAGGACCTGACAGCTACCCTGCGCAGGGCAAAGTCGTTCAGCTGCTCAGAGAAGCCCATGGCTCGCCGCTTGCTCCGCACCAGCGCCTTGAAACCCAGCTCCTCTGAGCTCCTGCTGGCAGGCTCTGGGGCAGAGGAGGATCCACTGCCACTCGTGGTCCAGGATCAGTATGTGCAGGAGGCCCGTCAGGTTTTTGAGAAGATACAGCGCATGGGTGCACAGCAGGATGATGGAAGTGATGTCAGCCCTAGAAGCCCCGGCTGGGCAGGCGACATGACCCAAGGGCAGCGGTCTCAGGAGGAGCTCTCTGGCCCTGAGTCCAGCCTGACAGATGAGGGCATTGGGACAGAGCTCTCTGGCCCCGAGCTTCTCGGTGCCACCTTTTGCAGCCTAGATCCTGCAGGGGTATGGCGACCTCTTTCCTCCACCTCAGCTCAGATGAACCACCTCCATGGGGTTGGGATGGAAGACAGTCTGGGTGGGAGAGCCCTTGTGTCTCCTGAGACCCCCCCAACACCAGGTGCTCTCCGCAGGAGACGCAAACTCCCACCCTCAGGCCCTAGTGGAGCTGATCTAAGCAGTGGAGAGGCAAGTGAGGCCTACAGATCCCTGAGTGACCCTATTCCACAGCGTCATCGGGCTGCCGCCTCTGAGGAGCCCTCCGGGTTCTCTGTGGACAGCAACCTTCTGGGCTCACTGAACTCTAAGACAGGGCTTCCAGTGACCCCAACGATGGATGAGGGCCTGACCAGTGGCCACAGTGACTGGTCTGTGGTTAGTGACGAGAACAAGGACTATCAGGAAGTCATTCAGAGTATTGTTCAGGGGCCTGGTGCCTTGGGGCGTATGGGAGAAGACAGGATCGCTGGCAAGACCCCTAAGAAGAAATCTCTGAGCGACCCTAGTCGCCGTGGGGAGTTGGCTGGGCCTGAATTTGAGGGCCCAGGAGGGGAGCCCATTCGAGAAGTGGAGCCCATGCTGCCTCCATCCAGCAGTGAACCTATCCTTGCAGAGCAGTGGGCAGAGCCAGAAGACCCCGGTCCTGCCAGAGGCAGGGCACAGTCAGAGAGGGCCCTACCTGCCCCACCTGCCTCCTCCACTGCCCACCACGACTTCCATCTTGACCCCAAGCTGGCCAATGTTCTCTCCCCTCGACTCATCCGCCGAGGTTCCAAGAAGCGCCCAGCCCGGAGCAGTCACCAGGAGCTTAGGAGAGCGGAGGACAACCAGGACCAAAATGGTAGCCAGACACAAGTCCGGTCTTCCTCCAAACATGTTCGACATGCGAGCGTGCCTGCTGCCTTCACACCTATTGTGGTGCCTGAGCCTGGGACTTCCGTGGGACCCCCTGTGGCTGTGCCAGAGCCTGTGGCCTTCCCTGCGAGAGCTCATCCCACACTGCAGGCACCATCACTTGAAGATGTCACCAAGCAGTACATGCTGAGCCTCCACTCTGGTGACGGTCCTGCCCCAGGTCCCGTGGACCCACCCTGCTTGCCTCCCTCCGCACCGCCCTCTGCTGAGACCAAGCCCTCTGGGGCTGCCAGGGCTCCAGATGAGCCTGCCCCAGCAAGCAAGTGCTGTAGCAAGCCACAAGTGGTAAGTCCTGTAGAGAGATTTGGAGGGGGGTACAGGAGAGCCATGGGCACCAACCTGACAGGAGCTTTTGTGTCTACTCAGTGGGCAGATGTCCAGATCCACAGGTGCTTATCTACCCTGGAATAACGTGAAGGGCACTGGGCTTCTGTTAATCCCGGTTCTGAAGAGGCTTCAGGATGTTGCTAACGTCAAAGGGTCTGTCTGCCCCAAGGTGTTCTGGTGGTGGCCACAGAGGTCCTGGGGATGTTTCTCAGAACTTGAGATTCCCACAGTTCTTTGTTGTAAATGCACTGAAAGTCTGGGAGAGGACGATGACATTCAGCCCAGGCTCCGGTCTCAATGCCCAGCTCTTCACTGATCTCATTTCAGGTCACAGTTGACATGTTCTTGCCTTTAAGTCTGTCCCAAGGCCTGGGAGACTTAGGGAGGCACCAGCCTTAATTTATGGAGCAGCAGAGGGCCTTAGGGGTCCACCCCCGATCTGATTCTAGTTTTCTGATATTGGCCTGTCTTGTGACTCAACATCCCCATCTGTAAGACTGGGTCTGAGGGATGTGGATGAAGCAGTTTCTATCCAGGTGCTATTGTGCAGAATTGGGAGAGTCTGCTTTGTGAATTTGGGTAGTTATGGGACCAATGCCAACATGCCCCTCCTCAGTTAGAGGAGCTTCGAGCTAGAGTTGTTAGGGAAGTGTGGTGACAGGTTTCTACTGAGGCTCGGCCGCAAAGGCCCCTCAGAGGGATTGAGAGTTCTGTTCCCTGTAGACAGGGCAGTCTCGGTGAGCCAGGATGAAGGCTCTGGCCCCTCACCCTGCCTCTCTGGATCTGCCTCTCTGGACCCTCCCACCTCTGTCCTGTTGATCCCAGGCCTCAGGGGCTCATTACCACCCTCCACAAAGCTCTCCCTTCTCTTACCTTACCTCAGCTATGCCTAGGTTTTGGCTATGGATACAGACTGGCTCTAGGCAACATCTACCCTGGCATGGGAGAGTTGCAAGTAGATTTGCAGCTCTGGGCTGGAAGCTGAGCTCAGGGATGGCCTGGGGTTATGTCAACTGCGGCCTGCCCGGGCTCCCACTGTGTTGCTGACTTCAGAAGCTGGGAAACCCTACACCCTGGACTAATTTGGTCACTTGGCTTCTCGGAGCTCTTAAGGGCCCCTTGAACTCCCTGTCCCTGTTTCTCTCCTCTCTATTGCCTCTGTCCTAGCCCTGCTCCTCTTTATGGAGGCGGCCGGGAGGGACAGACAGGGAGTGGGCAGAGGAGACTTTGGGATCTGGCTTTTCTTCAGAGACCCCATTAGGGGAGCCTGAGCACCAGAGCCAGTTCTATGCTTGGAGGATGTGGGGAGGGAGTCCCAGCTTCCTTTTCCAGGTAATGGTTTCCTATGGAAGTATAGTGGGAGGTGAGGGGCATCCAGGAAATTAGGGAGCCTGGGGGGCAGGCACTGAGGCCGAAGAAGGGTTTCATAGGACTGGCTCCTGCCCCCTTCACATTCTCCAGTGACCTCCCTCCTGAGAGCTGTGGTATGGAGCAGTCCCCTAATATACAGGCTTCTCCTGTCCCTGAAAGAGGCTTTCTCTGACATTTCGGCTCCTCCCACGTCTCCAGGCCCAGCTGGATGTTCCCTCTCACCCCTCAGAAGAGAGAAGGGGGAGTCTGTAATTAGAAGAGCCAGACTGGAGATCCCCAGGACCAGTTTCATCCCTGTTATGAGGATTGCTCTCCCTTCTGTAAAATGGAGATAATTGGGCTCTGCCCAGAAGGCTCTGTAGGTGGGCGGTGGTGTGACCATTCCCTCCCTGGGGGCAGGAGAGAGGACCGAACAGGCTCTGCTGCCTCAGCTGCTTCTCCGTGACCAGGCTTGGCTTCCTCCTCCCCCACTGCTGTCTAAGCACAGGCCTCAGTGACACCTGGTGGACTACGTTAGGCCATGCCTCCTTCTCCACCCCCTTGTTAAGCCTGGAAGTTCTTCCATCTGCTACCTTCAGTTTCTTCTTGCTATCCCTTTCCTTCTGGCTGCAGAAAGATGGGGAGCAGCTGTCCACTCCCCGCTTCCTGCTGGCTTCTCTTGAGCAGACAATGTTCCCTTGTCTCAGGCTTGGGGCTCCTGTCACGATCCCTGTACTGTGGCTGGAGGTGGTGTGGCTTGGCCTTCAGAATAAAGAGGGGACGAGAGAGGAATTGTCATGTTCTGCTTATGGAGCATAAACCAATGTCAGGTGCTAAGAGGGGAGAACTGGGGTCTCAGAAAACCACAGACTTGATCTTGAGCAGTAGGGAGTCCCTCTCACTCAGGCCTCTCCTACCTCAGCATCTCCCCTCATTGTGAGGAGGCACTGCTTAGCCTCTGACTCATCTGGACCTGGACAGTCATCTTTAGGACTTAGTTTTCCCATCTTTGCACTGGGAAATGGGCAGCCTGATCTTTGAGGCTCTGGAGGAAGGGCTCATTCTGCAGCCTGTCCAAGCAAATGGAACAAGGAGAGTTAGCGTGCCTAGAGGGGAGAGAAAGTCTGTTCTCTGAGTACTGTGAATGAGGGGCAGCTCAGCTCGTGGGTCACCAAGGCTGTGCTGTGTGGGCCTTCCTGTTTCTCCTACTCCAGGCCTCTGGGTTTTTCCAGCTAGGTCCATCGTTGCCATTATGTTGTCCATGGACCACGCTTTGCACCAAGGCATTCCTCTGTGGGGCTTCAGAGTAATCTTTTATAGTTTACTTTTTCTGCCCCTTGACACTTGTACCATCTATAGCCCAGAAGCAGGAAGTGACTTGTCTCTGAGAATTGTAGATGGCCAGATTCTTGAGACTTTGACATATTGAAATAGCTGTAACAGTGGCTGTTGTTCATTGCGTGCCCGTTTTATGGCGGGCACCGATGGTTTCTTGTCATGTGAAAGATCGGGTATCTATCTTACTGTGGGAGTCACCCTGAATCCTAGTTAATCGGTGTCTTTAAGAAAAGGAATCAAGGGATTGTTCCCAGTTTCTTAGTGAGACTGGCCTGCCATCTGAGGAGGGCATAAGTCAGGGACAGCTGGGGCATTACTTACACGTCGGGGTGTAACAGCCTGAGTGTGTTCATGGTGGTGTGTAATTCACCAGGGCCTAGTGTTGGGTCAGAAGAACTCTGAGACCCAGAAGAGGAGAACGCTAAGTCCAAGGTCACACAGTAAGGCCAGGCAGAGCTGGCCCAAGCCCCAGAACTGCTGGCCTTCTTCCTCTGCCACTCACTGCAGCCCTGGCCCCCAACCCCAGCCTGCTCAGCTGCCCTGCCTTCTGCAGGCCTGGGCTGCAGTTCTTCCCACCACTTTTGTCTGGCTGGCTCCCCCTTGGCAGGGACTTGGAGGCAAGTTTCCCTCCTGCCTCTCCTTGGCTCTTCGCTGTGATCCCCCCCCCCCCCCATGGAAGCTGCTTCCGTTGGGAGGAGATGAGGTGGTTAGGACATTTGGAATTCTGAGCAGTACCAAATATCTATAATTAATGTCTTGTCACCCAGCAGGAGGGTGGGATGGGGGAGGACAGGCAGAAGGGTTGTCCCTTTCAGGGCTTATCCCCTGCCCCACCGTCTTTCCGAGGACCGTGTGGTGTTGGGAGGAAAGGGGGTGCTCTCCAGGAATGAGTCCACCCAGCAGGGAAGGGCTGGAGGAGGGACCAGAGTTGAGTGTGACATTTTCCAGCCCAGCATTTCTGGGACCAGCTGGATTTGAGACGCTGCAGCTAATCCTGTCCCCAGCCCCCTCCCCCAATGTAGGGACTTGTCCCTCCTGCTTCCCTCCCTCCCATCTGACTGCCAGGGCTGCACGTGGTGCACAACAGTGGGTGGAGCCATCCCCGTGCAGCCTGGGAGCTGAGGCATGCATCTGAGAATCCAGAAGCAATCCGCTGTCTTGAAGGTGCTTAGGATGTTAGTCTGCAGGCTGGCAGGGGAGGCTTCCCTGGAGGACGCTTCAGCCTAGACTGAGGCCTGGAAAGCTGGGAGAGAGGAAGGGATTCTAGGAGGGCATGGCATTTGCAGGGGCTGGGAGGAGGCCTTCCGGGCAGGCTGTTGTAGTGGAAGTTTGGTTTTAGTATCCGTGCACTGAACAGCCGACTTCCCAAGCACCCCTTGCCAGGTCCGGCACCGTTCTAGAGCGAAAAGACAGCAGTGCGGAGGCCTGCCTTTCTGGACCTTCCAGACTGGTGAAGACACGTGTCTGCAAAGGAGGGCGCTGTCAGGGAACAGAAGGTTTGGGAGAAAAATAGAACCGGGTGAAGAAGTTGAGGATGACAGGCTGGGGTATTATTTTAGATCACCGGGTCTGGAGAGGCCTGGGAGAGGAGGTGTTAACATCTGACGCCCGGAAGAAGTGAGAGAGGGAGTCAGGTAGCTGCGGGGAGCGGGGATTTCTGGGAAGAAAGGAACAGCAAATGCAAAGGCCCTGGCGTGTGTGAGGAATGGACACGGGGTAGTGTAGACAGAGCTGAGCGGTAGGAGGTCAGAGGTCAGCGAGCAAAGGGTAGGTCTTATAGGCCAGTGGGAGGACTTGGCATCTACCTGAAGTGAGAGCTAGGTACTGTCAGGGGGCTCTGAGTGAAGTAATGACCCAAGCTGCTGTGTGGGGCTTGCAGGGTCCAGCATGGAAGCAGCGAAGCAAGTCAGGAGGCCCCAGACGTAAGCGATGATGCTAGCCTGGGCCAGCGGAGATGCGGAGAGGAGTGTTTCAGCTGAAGCCCAAAGAGTCTAGACCTCTAGTACCTACGTGAGCAAGGCGCTACTGCCTGCCAGATGTGGTGGCACACACCTTTTATCCCAGCACTTGGGAGGCACAGGCAGGCAGATCTCTGTGAGTTCGAGGGCAGCCTGGTCTACAGAGCGAGTCTCAGGCTAGACAGGGCTATATAGTAAGACCCTGTTTCAAAGAAATAAAAAGACAGTACTACCCTCTACTCCAGCAGCTGACAAGTGTAAGAGGGGTCACTCACGAGGAGGGTGAGATGACAGAGCTACCTACTGCCCTGT